GAAACAAAAATACCTTATTTTTGTACATTAAAAGTTCTTCAAAGACCTAGAAAGGCCAGTGTGACGTAACAAACGGATAAAGGAAGGGCTCCTTATTATTTACGGACAATTAGATAGGCACACAAACGGATATGTTCTTACCAGAGGTACACTCTGAGGTAAAATGTGCGTATATTTTTCCAGAATTCAAGGGGTTTTTTTTGTTTTATGGATTTAAACTCTCAATAACATGGTTTATTTGTGCTTGATACGATTTGTTTGTTTTTTTTGTTTAACGACCCTCTCGAGAATTTTCACTCATATGGAGACGCAACCACAGTGGAGGGCTGCAAATTAAGAGCTATACTTGGCACTCAGAGCAATTGAGCAGTGAGGCCAGGAATCTTTCTCGTGACATCACCTACTGCGACACGGGGCCTCGGTTTATACGGTCTCATCCCAAGGCCCGTTTCCAAGTCCCGCAGTGGGATGCTTGAGACGACTGTGCGAGATTAAAAAAAAACTAAAAATAGACCTAACCCCGAGGATTTTCAGACATGCTATGGGACTTGTCTATAGTAGGTTTATGGACATGAGGAATCCCCTACTGAAATTCACCTCACTCTGTGAAAAAATTGCAGAATGTATAAAAAAATCATTTGAACATATGCATCTCACTATAGACAACTACCAAAAGTAATTCCATCCTGTTTTGCACAATGTATCCCTCGTCTGTATGAATGTAAGATAATTTATTATTTACAGACAGTTAGACATGTATACAAATGATAGATGAAGGATACACTATTTACAGACAGACGAACAGGTACAAACGGATAGACGAAGGACATTTTAATATTGCATAAGCTCTTCTGGTCTTTGACCAGTATAGTTAAAATGCAGAAACACACAATGCATGGCAAAAGATGAAAACAGAGAGTAGAATGTTACATGTATGGGGGATGAATGTCTGAAAAGTGCTTATTTTCCCTGGCATTGTAAGCATGTACAAGTTTTCATGAAGTGACATTCAAAAGATGACCAAAAATGAAGCTCGATGCTCACCCGAGTCACTATGGCCCTGTTCTTCAGTGGAAGATTTTTCCCTATATATGTATATTCCTATGTAGAACTTTGATTGCCTATTGTGGTCCATATCAATATGGCTAAATATGCCTTTGCTGTTCTTAAAAGATGTTTTTCTACATATCCCTACGAAAAATTTGATCACCTATTGAAGCCCACCCTACCGCCTTGGTATTTGAACAAATTAATCTACACTACCTGAGCATACTTCCATATAAATAACATATCATGCCTTTGCTGTCTTGAGAAGAAAATTTTAAAAACAATTTTTCTATATATTCCTACGTAAAACTTAGTAGTTGGTTGGCCCTTATCGTTGTTGCTAGGGCTCAATATCGATATTGCGGTATATTGCAATTCGTTAACAAAAAATATCGTATTGCGATACGTTTTTCCAGTACCGATATACTGGCAAAATGCTTTGGCTTTAGATTTATGAAGTAAAACACGTAATTTAAGATGTCAGAAATGTTTTAAATTGTGCCAAACAGTACCAAACGGTAAAGGTTTCTGTTGTATGGTTGTATTTCATTGCCAAACTGTAATGAAATCACCTAGAACTGTTTTTGTTACAACGTATTTATAAAAGTTTTATACACTCTGCTTATATATGGAGGCTAATAAAATAAGAAGAGCATTTTAACTCTTATTAAAAATATTGCAATACATATTGTACAATTAAAAATATCGCAATGCGAAATTCCCAACCGATACCCAGCTCTAGTTGTTGCCCATCCTACGTACCCCAAGGTGTCATGAGTTAAGAGTCATTCTCTGTAACGACTTGAACTTTTATATAGGAGCTGTGGCACGCATAGTCTCAGAATTTCTCCAAACTCTCTATGATAAAAGTCTTTGATACAGTAAACTTAAATCAGGCAGAAATTGGTTGCTACGTGTCATGGTTACCATGGCAACATGTCCTAAAGTTTGAAAAATGGAATTTTTCAACATGTTCAGAGTCTCACAGTTAACGTTTGCAGAAAAGCAAACAAGTGTCAATGATTGTTTCTGAAAGTTGAAGGCCTGATATCTTAAATGCATGATAAACATGTTTGGTAAATCAACTATTACATACGTTACTATGGAAACAAAGTATTCAAAAGTAATAATTTTGCTCATTTCAATTTATAAAATCATACACTTAAGAATAAAAAAAAATTATAGGTTGAAATGCAAGCAAATAATAGACAAAAGATCCTTGTAACATATACCAAGGAAGAAATATGATATTTCTTATAGGTTGACAATGGTTGCCATGGTTTTAATACCAAGAAGGGATTTTAAATTTACTCTCTTAGTGTTTAAATCTAATCCTATCTTTTTAAAAAGCATATTTCTATATAACTAATGATCAATTTTTAAAGATGTTCATGTGGCCCTAATTTTCACATTTCAAAAAATTCAAATTCAATTCTTTAAATAGAGCGTTGCTATGGAAATAAGCCGAAAAAATATGCATAAAAATCTGAAAAAATATTCTGTTTCCTTGGATACGTACCCTTGTATGTGGATTCCCAAAACTTTTATGATTGATAATTATGAACAACTAACCTGACTTTCAATTTTGACTGCCACCCAATCTCTAACTGGATGCAAAAAGCTGGCACATAGGGTTTAATATTGATATAAAATTAACAAAATCGAACATATTCCCTTCTTGGTTACCATAGCAACAGTGTTGTATTTTTCAACAAACGTTATCAATATATGATATTCAACTTTAGTTCTACCAGATAAGTACTATTCAAGGTGAGTCAAATAATATGTTTCTTGAATGATAGGTAAGTAAATTCCTAAGGCAGCAAAAACATATTACTTTAAACAACTGGTTCATTGTTTCCATGGTTACACTGCAAAGTAACAATTAATCCCAATTTTTCTTATATTGTTGGTGTTGCAAGGTCCTAAGGATGCATATGTGCCAGTCATGAAATTTATTGTTTTTCCTGAAGATAGTAGCATTAACCCAATCTTAGCAACACATTTTGCATGCTAACACTGTGTTACCATGGCAACCATGAAAGTTATTTTTAGAATAATATTGCCAATACCTAATTACTTAACGTAGAACCTACGTCGTATGACGTCATATCAAGTAAATCCGTTTAGACCGTCTTTTTGATGCTAGATCCATTATGACGTCATAATTAATTTAATGTTACTTTTCCCCGTACTTTCTCCAAGAATGTCTCTTGTAATGAAGTTACACAACTGTGATAATGTGAATGGCATGCAACTATTTTGAAGGAAATCAAAAAACCTAAGAAATCTAAATAGTACAATATCTTGATAAAAATGTCTCCAAGTCAAAGATCTGTTAAATATTGTGTGTAAATTTTGTAATGTCTATCATGAAATGATGTACATTCCCTTTCATAATTATTTGTTAATTATTCATAATGGTTGGTGTATAATAATAATGATTCCCTAAAATATCTTTTTAAATAGAAAAAATTACATTTTTTGATAAATATTTACATTGTAAATCTGATACAACCGCAAAACAGTCAGTTAATAATTAAATCCTGTGTTAGTGCAGAAAGGTCAACAAAAGAAGTATTGATAAATAGAGTGTCTCTCATTCGTTTGTGGCGAAAGGTATATATTTTAATCACTTTTTGTAATTATTTGTGTATCTTCTTCACCATATTAAAGATTGAAAACATTCTGACAAAGACTTTTGAAAAATATATACAAATTTAGGTGGTAAATTGACTCAAAAAAATATTGAGCACATTTGCCTATAATCGTTGAAATGTGGACTTAATCTTTTATGTCAATTGAATAAAAAAGAATTTATTGATGAATAATATTGCTTAATACGGTTCAATTGATAAAGTCTATAAAAGACGATGTTTGAAGAAGTATTTTTGTGATTTCCTATATTCTCTTTATGACCAGTACCCCTAAAAATGACTGAAAATATGAAGTCGCAGTGTAAAATTCTCATTCCAAGTTGCACAGGCTGTACTACATTTAATTACAAGGAAACATACCATATATTTTTATCTGATTGACAAGCGAGTGCTAATTTATCATTTTGAAAAGTTTGAAAATCTTGTGACAAAGACTTTTCCGACATAGGTTCTACCTTAAGGTCAAATATTTTTATTGTTTTTTCTTAGGTTGTTGATTGAGTTTGATCATTTAACACCTATCATTAGTGAATATTGAGCGTTTTTCTGCATTTTTCAGCATCTAAAATGTATTCCGAATGTACCCATGGTTACCACTTATTTAGAGATAAATTCTAAATAGTTTCTTTATAGCATAAGTGGCAACAAGGTGTCAGATTTTTGTGAGAATGGTTTGTTTGTTATTCTTAGTCTTTGTTAAGGCTTAATAAAGATTCAAAGTAGCTGAAAATCTCAATTTTTCCAACTTTTCTGGCTGTTACCATGGCAACCAAGACACATAGCAACGAAATTTTATTTGATATATGTTTCTGATGTCAAGTCGTAATAATGGGCAAAGTTTCATCAAAATCGCGGTGACCATGCGTGGCAGAAGTTTAAGTGGTTACAGAGAATCGCTATTAAAAAAAAACAAACTTGAATCTACACTATGTAATGAAGCTTTCAAATAAGTTTAAACTTTACTGACCCAGAAGTTCTTGTGAAAAAGATTTTTGAAAGATATGCCATTACAGTTTCACTAATTCTTAATTATCTCCCCTTGAAAGAAGGTATGCCCTTATTAGGAAAAAAACTTGAATCTCCTTCACCCAAGGATGCTTTGTGGTAATTTTGGATGAAATTGGCCAAGTGGTTCTGCACGAGAGGATGAAATTGTGGAAATTCATGACGACGATGACAGACAACAAATTTTGATCCATAAAGCTCACTTGAGCTGAAGGCTAAAGTGGGCTAAACATGTCATTTAGAAGGAAATACACTGTATCATGTTATCATTGAATATTACAAAGAAAAAAATAAATCATCAACAATTTTATTTCTCAAATAGAACTGTCTTACAGTTCCTTACAAACTGGAAGTACATTTTATCAAGTGAGCATTTATCACATCATGACTGTGACATTGATATTGTGCACGCATGTGATTATATCTTCATTTCTTTATACAAATTGAATAAGTATATCAATCAGTCATCTATCAATAAGGTCTAAAAAAAAAAAAAAATAGAAATGGTGATCATTAAATGCAAAAATATGTTAAGTTGTGATATACATGTATTATTAAAGATATGATGTCCAGTTGTTCAATCTCGATTTTGAAATAAAGATAGTCAAAATTTAGTGATATGTCTGCTTTATAATATAATATACCAAGTTTGAAATGTTCTTACTATATTGATCTTCAGCACATTTTTTTTTACATTAATTAGGAAATCCAAACATTAAATCAAGTACAGATTCCATTGAACAGCTCACAAAAAGAAACATATTTATATTCCAAGACACAATTACACAGATGAACAAGCAGACAGATTCTATATTCTAACTCCCTACTATCATGTAGAAAGGAGGCATAATGAATAAAAAATGAGGATAAAGAAATGGAGCCTTAAAATGTACAACAAATTGTCATTCCTTCTACATATATAAAAATATATACTTCAGGATACATGAGGTCATTTAGAAATTAATAAAGCAAATATACATGCAAATATTTGGTTCACTAAGAGGTTAAAAATATATAACAATTAAATTTAAAACTATATCCATATTCAGTCTTCCAGACTTTTTCTAAATCTACCACTTGCAACAAATATTTTTTTAGGCATCAAGATATGGTACTGATTGACTTTTAAACTTAGGGACTATAGTTTACTCTAAGATTTGAACTGTATGTGGAAGACGAAATGTCATTTCACAATGTTTGTTACACAAAACAATCCAACGATTAATTAATTATGGTTTAATAATACATATGTATATACCTTTTATAAAGCACCAATTCATTATGAAATATGAATAAAACAAACAGAATAAAATTGCAAATAAAAAAAGAAATTTTATAACCATTTGAGAATGTCCTGCATGCTCTTGGCGTCATAAAATTATGTATACTGTTAATGTGGATATTCACTCAGTTAAGTATGCTAATTACAAAAAGTAGAAAAACCATAAACATGGGGATTATTTCTACGGTTATCAGGATAATTATTGTTGATGAATAATACACAAGCATTATTCATAACTAAAATAAACTCAACAAATGACAATGGTTAGACATTTGTATCCGCAGATTGGCTCTTGAATTTGGATCTAGGGGTGAAGTTTTTCTGACTGAGCTGCTCCAGTGCTTTCAGTACTTTATCAGGGAAGTGATCATACACCATTTCTGGACAAACTAAAATCTCTGTGAAATCCTTGGGATCTTTCCACTCAGCAAAGTAAGAGGGCCCCCATATCAAAAAATAATACATAAAAGTATATTTTTAATATATTTTTAATACAATCATTTTCGTATTGTTTAAAATTAATACAGAAAAAATATATTATTTTTGTATCACCAACAAATAGGTAGATTATTTTTGTATTAAAATCTGACTTTGATTTTTTACAGGGTATTATTTTTGTATTTTTTGGGACTTAGATTATTTTCAGTATATCATTTTTGTATTTTTGTGGACTTAGTTTTTTTCAAGTGTATTTTTTCTGTATTAAAATTGAACTTAGTAATTTTACAGAAAATTACATACAGTTAATCTGTATTATTTTTGTATTAAAATTGAACTTAGTAATTTTACAGAAAATTACATACAGTTAGTCTGTATTATTTTTGTATTAAATTTGGACTTAATAATTTTTCAAAAAATACTATACAGTCAGTATGTATTTTTTTTATATTTATTTTGGACTTAGTGTTTTCTTTTACTGAAATTTGTATTTCTTTGAACTTAGGAAAATTTACAGAAGTTCTTGCAATAAGTCTGTTGGAATTAATATTTTTTCTCAGATTTTATTAATTAAGACCACTGCTATAAAGGTTGCTTTTATACTATTTACATTTAATTGCTATTTAGAACAGAAAACTTCAGTAGTTTAAATTTGTTAACTAAACAATTTCATTTTTAAAACATGTCTTTACTAGGTGTGAAATTGTCATTTGGAAAGAGATAGATACGTCTAAGGGGACACCTGTGCTGTACATGATACTTGTAAACACGCGGTAAATTTTGAAGTTTCAGAGTTTCAGACTTTCTTTTTGTGTTGAAAATTTTACAGCGTGTTTACAACCGAGTGTTTACAACTATCGCCAACAGCACAGGTGGCCACCTGCAGGCTAACAATAGACGAGTACATGTTATACTACTCAAAGAAATAACATGATTTACCCGTGAAAACACATCCCAACCAAAACCAAAACCAAAACAAACAACATGAAGAGTTCCACTAAATACAGTACCTACGATGTTTTCTTGACTATACAACTCAACGTAGTATACATTATATATTTACTTCAGTACGTATTACAATTACATGGAATAGAACTATTTAATTATCCGCTTTTAGAAAAAAATTAAATAAGAAATTATTACGAAAGAATATCATAAAATAATATAGAAAATGTTGTGAAATTGGTGTAAAGGATAGTTGTTAAACATTATTTCAATCTCTGGTACCGTATGTATGAGTTAAGTTGTCCATCAAAAAGGCTATATATTATGTATCTCCCGCTCGTTTTGATCATTATATTTGAACTTTATGGTCTACTTCACAGGTCAACTTGAATATAAAAATGGCTGCTCTCAGCGGAAATAATGACCGGAAATAACGATGTTTCGTAATCGGTAAATTCCGTAAGGAATAAAAAATGATTCTGATAATTAAATTGAACATCGTTTTTTTCTAACATAATTTTAGGTTTGTTCAATTGATTCAAGATATTTAAAACCATGTAAATATGTTTTCTCTAACTGTTCCGTTCTGAACATCGGTAATTTTCGTATATGTGACACAATATGATTGGTCAGATTTTAAAACTCTTCCGTACTCTTCTCTGATTGGTCAACAATATTTCACCCACGCCATTTTGAAAATTCTTCCCGGGACGTGTTGAGAAAGCTGGAGGTGATTTTGAATAAACTCTCATTTGCTCGCGAGTAAAATGGATTGAAAAACAGAAGTGCAGCATAATAATGGTACACAGGATCATATATATGAACCAAGGAAAGCAAATACATAAGGAGACTGACGTTTTTTAGGCATCATATCTGGACTTTTCTGGTGTAAACAACGACAGTTGCGGTAAGATTATGTATATTTTAGCACATTAAAGTTTCAGTTTTTTAAATAATAACTTAGTACAAAGATAGAGGAACAAAGAATGCCTTTTTTACCCATTTTGTAGTATTGTAGAAAGATAAAATAGTACGGTTATTGGCCATATGGGGAACAAGGGTTTTTGTGATAAATTCTGATTGGGGAGAGAGGGGTGGAAGATGGGGGTAATTTTCAAGCCTTTGGCTTCCTAGTTCTATTTCATTCCAATTTTTTCAAGTTTACCATAGACGAATTATTTATTTTCCCTTCAAAAACAATTCTGTAATTTGTATAAACTCAATTTTTTCGGGGGGGGGGGGTAGGTTGGGTTCGGGGGGGGGGCAGTTTATTTAAATAACATTGGGGCACACATTTTGTTTACTCTTTCAACATTTTCAAGGACAGATTGTTTATTACAAATATTTTTTTAAAAATATTTTATAAATCAGTCCCCCCCCCCCCTTTTTCTTCTCCAGATTGTCAAATCAAATGGTTGTCCCCTAAGAAACCCCAGATTAAAGAAAAGTAATTTCAATGGTACAATTGTATGGAATTTGGTGAACTCCGCTGGATCTTTTGGAATTTCAATTTATATTTATTGTTAATTTTAGTCAGCAGAACATTGAAGAAAAGCTGATTAGTCATGGAGGAAGAAGATCCCTCTCAAGAAAGTATTGCAGGTGTGTGAGCTAAACAAAATCTATATAGAATTATTTTGGATGTGAAAATGTGTGTTTTGTTGAGGTAATGGTTCATTAAATTTTATCATTATATCATTCTGTTCTATATTTCACAGTGATGAAGTCAGATGAGATGACAGGTTTTGTGATTTGAAGATGGACTTCTGCAACAAAGTAAACACTCCTCTACCTTTTCCATACAAAAGAAACAGCAAAGCAGAGAGATCGAAACATGTGGTAAAAATACAAAGAAAACAGGATTAGTTAAACTTGTGAAAAATATCAAGACTATTGAAGAGCAGATTATATGTAAAAAGAAAGACTACAATTGGTAGCTGAATCAGTAGCCTGGCCACATTAATTACTTTTTAATTAGCTATTTGTACATTTAAGGTAATCTGACTGAGTTACTAAAATTGTTATTTAACAAATATTTCAAATAAATAAAAGATTTTTGAATAACAATCAATAGATGCTATTAAGAACCTCAATCTCCAACCCCTTTTCTTCAAATAACAATTTTTGCCCATGATCATTTTTGTAGTTTTTAAAACTCTGTTTTGTATTATTTTAAGCATTTAAATGTATTTTTTGTCTATCATTCTTGTACTTTTTTGATATTTTTGAAATAAAATCCTTCATGCTGATAAAAATACAAAAACAATACAAATTAATACAAAATTAATACATTCTATATTTTTTTCATACTTTTTTTGTGTACTGTATTATTTTCATATTTTATATCTTTTTTGTACTTTTAATTTATCCAGATGAAAAAATACAAAAATAATATATGTGATACAAAATTAATATATTCTATATTTTTTTTGTATTTTAATTCTTAAAGGTGAAAAAATACAAAAATAATATATGCTAATACAAAATTAATACATTCTGTATTTTTTCTATACTTTTCTATGGACTGTATTATTTTTATACTTTGGAGAGGAAAATAGAGAAATAATACAAAAGTACAAAAACAATACGTTTTTACAGGTCATGTGTATCATTTCTGTATTATTTCGAAAAAATAAAGTATATTAAAAATATATTTTTCTGTGTTTGGCTTTTAAAAAGTCTATTATTTTTGACCTAAATTGGAACCAAGATTTAGAGGGTTCCAAATTTGGTCATTAAAAATATACTTTTTTTGTATTATTTTAGTATTTTTTTCTTGTATTATTTTTGTATTCATTTTCGATATGGGGATCCGGATCTTCAAAACATTTCCTGAAAAAGAATCCTTTGTTATTGTTTGCACTGGACAATGTTTTACTCATACTGTGCACTAAATCATTTCTCTTTGAATATTGTAAAGGCAGAAATATTCATTAGGGATTAAATTTCATTTATTTCATTGTTAACAATTTCACTTTTGATAACAAATCAATGAAATTATCCCAGTGCAACATTATCAATATCTACAATATTTATTTTTGTTGTTTTTTGTGGTCGAGTCAGATCATGGAGATCAAAAATCTTCAAATTTCACAAATGATAGAATAGGATGTGGTAGCGGTCCTTAAATTCACATTTCAACAATTACTTTCTTTTTAATCCCTAAGAATTAATGAAACCAGAGTATTGGGATGTCACATTTGCCAGTGGAAGGATCCAGATTTAGACAGTGCATGCACTCAACACTTTTGGCCATTGAGCTATGAGGCTCTTTTTCATGCCAATATTTACAGTGACAAGGAAAACAACCCTTCTCTGTTTATTTTTCCTAGAAAAGCCCTTTGCATCATTCAGAAAATAAATTTTTCCAATCTAAACAGAAGGCATGGAGAAGGATAATGAATGTTTTCTATAAGTGTCACACCTCCATTATTCCCCACTATTTACCTGTCAGATACATAGGTGTTTGTGTTATCTATTTAAATTATCTATAAATGAAATGCCTCCATCACAACCCACTGTTTACCTGTCTGTATCCACTTCCTGTGTGTGTAGGACCTGTCCGGGGGGGGGGGGGGGGGTTACATAGGTGTGTGTGTGTTATCTATTTATATAAGTGACCCACTGTTTACCTGTCTGTATCCACTTCCTGTATGTGCAGGATCTGTCCCGGGGTGCATAGGTGTGTATGTTATCTATTTATATAAGTGACCCACTGTTTACCTGTCTGTATCCACTTCCTGTATGTGTAAGACCTGTCCTGGGGGGTACATAGGTGTGTGTGTTATCTATTTATATAAGTGACCCACTGTTTACCTGTCTGTATCCACTTCCTGTATGTATAGGACCTGTCCCGGGGGGTACATAGGTGTGTGTGTTATCTATTTATTTAAGTGACCCACTGTTTACCTGTCTGTATCCGCTTCCTGTATGTGCAGGATCTGTCCCGGAGGTACATAGGTGTGTATGTTATCTATTTATATAAGTGACCCACTGTTTACCTGTCTGTATCCACTTCCTGTATGTATAGGACCTGTCCCGGGGGGGTATATAGGTGTGTGTGTTATCTATTTATATAAGTGACCCACTGTTTACCTGTCTCTATCCACTTCCTGTATGTGTAGGACCTGTCCCGGGGGGTACATAGGTGTGTGTGTTATCTATTTATATAAGTGACCCACTGTTTACTTGTCTGTATCCGCTTCCTGTATGTGTAGGACCTGTCCCAGGGGGTACATAGGTGTGTGTGTTATCTATTTATTTAAGTGACCCACTGTTTACCTTTCTGTATCCACTTCCTGTATGTGTAGGACCTGTCCCGGGGGGTACATAGGTGTGTGTGTTATCTTGTACTCTTCACGTGCCTGTATTGTGTTTTGGATTGCTTGCTGTAAATAAATCGATTACAAATACATGTAAGTAAAACAAGCTTATAACCAAATGCCACAGATGAATAAATTTGATTCATTATAATTATAATTCATTAGATCCACTAGTTCATACTACTGGGAATGAAAATCATAGCTATAAGGGTGAATTCATTATAAGAATGTTCCTTGTAACCTTGTTTTACTGTAGTAAGCAGATTAATTTTTTTTATATCTAGAGTATCCTGATCTAGATTGTACAAGTCATTCAATAGTTCTGATACCCTTATGAAGTCAAAACTTAAGAATTTAACTTTATATACTGTTATATACTGCAAGTTGTTGTTAGATCTAATAAGAATGAATGATTGAATAAATTGACTCACATTTTTGAAATTGCTATCACAAGTTTGTTCTTATAATAAGGAGAATATATAAAATAAACCGTATTTTGTTAAACACAACAGCTCATTGGTGGAAATACATTTTTGTTATTTTACCTGTTTGTATAACCTAAATTTCAGAATCAGACATCTTCAATCCAGACAATAAAATTTGGAATAAACATATAAAATTTCTATAAATAAATTTATATAAAATTTAAAAATCCATTCTGGTTGTAATGCAAAATCTATCTGCATGGTTAGAAAATTAGGTTATATATATATATATATATATATATATATATATATATATATATATATATATATATATATATATGAAATCATTTTTAAGAAATAAACTTAATATCTACCAAAGTTATACATGTACATGTATAACATGGGTTGGGACAATTTACACTTTCTATAAACCATTCTGTGGTTTAAAAAGTGAATACTGCCCCAACCCAGGTTATAAAGTATTACTTGAGAAGCTATTAAATTCATTCCCTAAATGAAAATAATGTCATCAGTAGTTTATATTGGACTTTCAAGCTATTTTATCTAACAGATTTAACATTAAGATTTAACAGATTATTTTTCTTATACCATCAGAACTCAGATTACCTCTATTGATTTCTTGGAGGAATTTGTCCTGTTCTCCTCAACAAGATTTGCTGTGTCCTCCAGATCCGAGATTGGACTGTCATCCTTACAGCTACAACACAGCTCCCATACCCCGGCCACTAAAATCCTGTACTGTAACAAAAATCCCACAGAGTTAATAACAGAGTACAGGTTACATACAATAACAGAACAATTAATGCTATAATGTCATCCTTACAGCTACAACACAGCTCCCATACCCCAGACGCTAAAATCCTGTACTGTAACAAAAATCCCACAGGGTCATTAACAGAGTACAGGTTACATACAACAACTGAACAATTACCATTATAATTCATTCTTAAAGCTACAACACAGCTCCCATACCCCGGCCACTAAAATCCTGTACTGTAACAAAAATCCCACAGGGTCATTAACAGAGTACAGGTTACATACAACAACTGAACAATTACCATTATAATTCATTCTTAAAGCTACAACACAGCTCCCATACCCCGGCCACTAAAATCCTGTACTGTAACAAAAATCCCACAGGTTCATTAACAGAGTACAGGTTACATACAATAACTGAACAATTACCACTATAATGTCATCCTTACAGCTACAACACAGCTCCCATACCCCAGCCGCTAAAATCCTGTACTGTAACAAAAATCCCACAGGGTCATTAATCAGGTCTGGGCGGCCTCCGTTTTTGGAGGATAGCTAAATTCAATATGGCAGCCAAAATTTTTACCATATATGGAAACCCCGTTGCATTGTGGGATAGTTTATCCTCCGATTTCAGAGAATAACACAGGTAATTTTCAAACACCCCGTGCCTACCTTTAATCAAAAAGTGCAAGCACCAGAGTACATGCAAATAAAAGTTCAAACATTGAACTATCGATTGTATGTGGCGATTTGAGATCCTATGTCTAGATATTTTGCAATTTATTTTCAAAGTTAGCACTTTTTGCGCTCCATTATTACTGAATATTTCTTGTTAATTTGTTTTATTTTTTATGCTTTTTCCCTATTTAGACAAATAAAAAAGGACTTTAATATTTCTGTTATATTTTCTTTTAATTCAAAAAAAGGAAACACAAAATGAAACGCATTTTAAGCGTATTTAAAACGCAAAATATACTCTGCCTTATAATTTAAGCAAATAAAAGTATAAATGGATTGAATGAATAATTATAAAAATAAATAAATAATTTGAATAGCATAAGTAAATAAAATAAATAATTTGACATATTTACTAAGAAATTAACATATATTCATACAGCCATGTGTATACATAAACAAATAAAATATTACAAAGTGATGTGCTAAAGAATTATTAAATGAAAGAAATAATACATGACTAAACTTAATTTTTCAAAAAAAAATGTTCATCAAAATTTCTAAACTGCTTATCACATAATTACGGTACTGGAAAATCAGCGTGGTTATAAATTGACCTCAGTCGCAGGTAAGTAAGTGCAATATTTGTTTTCCAAGCTGTATACTGAATAACTGATTGACGGCAATTACAAAAATATAGTTATATTGATTTAATATCTGAATTATCCATCATCATAGGAAATTGTACCTTTTATTTGTTTTGATTTCGAAATCATTGTACGGTTCATATATGCAAGAGTTGCTGTTATTTGTTTGGTTAAGAGTTAACTGCCCTTAGTTTTGAAAATTCCGGTAGGTGGCAAGACCGCTATCCTCTGTTTTCAGAGGATAAAATCTATCCTCCAAAAACAGAGGCCGCCTAGACCTGTTAATAGAGTACAGGTTACATACAACAATTGAACAATTACCATTATAATTCATTCTTAAAGCTACAATACAGCTCCCATACCCCGGCCACTAAAATCCTTTACTGTAACAAAAATCCCACAGGGTCAATAACAGAACAGCTACCACTGCATTATATAATGTATGTGACATGATCTGTAGTGTAACATGAACAATGTCAATAAAGAACAACTATCAATAACAGGACAGATACAATTATAAATAACAGATAACTATTAATAACATAACAACTACCATATCAATAACAGAACAGCTAACATTAACAACAGTCAAACTACCTCTTGCAATAATAGAACAGCTAACACTACCAATAACAGAATAGCTACCACTACCAATAATAGAACAGCTAAAACTACCAGTAACGGAATAGCTTACACTAACAATAACAGAATAGCTAACACTACCAATAACAGAATAGCTTACATTCCCAGTAACAGAATAGCTTTCACTACCAATAAAGAATAGCTAACACTACCAATAACAGAATAGCTTACATTTCCAGTAACAGAATAGCTTTCACTACCAATAACAGAATAGCTAACACTACCAATAACAGAAAAGCTAACACTACCAATAACAGAATAGCTTACACTACCAATAACAGAATAGCTAACACTACCAATAACAGAATAGCTAACAGTACCAATAAAGAATAGCTAACACTACCAATAACAGAATAGCTAACAGTACCAATAAAGAATAGCTAACACTACCAATAACAGAATAGCTAACACTTCCAGTACGGAATAACTAACAATACCAATAACAGAATAGCTAACATTTCCAGTAACAGAATAGCTAACACTACCAATAATAGAATAGCTTACACTACCAGTAACAGAATGGCTAACACTACCAATAACAGAATAGCTTACACTACCAGTAACAGAATAGCTAACACTACCAATAATAGAACAGCTTACACTACCAGTAACAGGATGGCTAACACTTCCAGTAACAGAATAGCTTACACTACCAATAACAGAATAGCTAACAGTACCAATAAAGAATAAGCTAACACTACCAATAACAGAATAGCTAACACTTCCAGTACGGAATAACTAACAATACCAATAACAGAATAGCTAACAATACCAATAACAGAATAGCTAATATTATCAACCACAGAACAGCTAACAATACCAGTAACAGAAAAGCTTACACTACCAGTAACAGAATAGCTAACAATACCAATAACAGAATAGCTAATATTATCAACAACAGAACAGCTAACAATACCAGTAACGGAAAAGCTTACACTACCAGTAACAGAATAGCTAACAATACCAATAACAGAATAGCTAATTCAACAACAGAACAGCTAACAATACCAGTAACGGAAAAGCTTACATACCAGTAACAGAATAGCTAACAATACCAATAACAGAATAGCTAACACTACCAATAATAGGACAGCGAACACTACCAGTAACAAAACAAGAGGCCCATGGGCCACATCGCTCACCTGAGCACATTGGCTGGGCAAAAGCACAAATCAGTTCAGTATTGAAAAGATTACCGGGAAGGGGGGGGGGGGGGGCTTGAATTTTAAACTACCTGATGATGCTTCCATGTCAATATAACAAATGGCTTTGTTGTACTTGAGAAGATTTTAAAAAAATTTCCCATATATTCCTTTGTAAAAATTTGATCCCCCATTGTGGCTCCTCCCTATCCCAGGGGTCATCATTTGAACTTGAATCTACACTACCTGAGGATGCTTCCATATCAGTATGACTAAACATAGCTTTCCTGTTCTTGGGAAGAAATATTTTTTCTATATGTTTCCATAACAAAATGACTAATCATGGTTTGCAGTTCTTCAGAAGATATTTTCCTTTACATTTCTATTTAAAACTTTGATCCTCCATTGTGGCCCCATCCTACCCATGGGGGCCATGATTTGAATAAAATAGAATCTACACTACCTGAGGATGCTTCCACATAATAATACATCAATCAGGGCTTTGCTGTTCCTGAGAAGAAGATTTTTAAAATTTTTCCAATATATTTCTATGTAAAACTTTGATCCTCCATTGTGGCCCCGCCCTACCCCCGGGGGTCATGATTTGAACAAACTTGAATCTACACTACCTGAGGATGCTTCCATATAAATATGACTCATCATGGCTTTGCTGTTCTTGACAAGAAGATTTTTAAAGATTTTTCCTATATATTTCTATGTAAAACTTTGATCCTCCATTGTGGCCCTGCCCTACCCCCAGGGGTCATGGTTTGAACAAATTTGAATCTACACTACCTGAGGATGCTTCCATATAAATATGGCTCATCATGGCTTTTCTGTTCTTGACAAGAAGATTTTTAAAGATTTTTCCTATATATTTCTATGTAAAACTTTGATCCTCCATTGTGGACCCGCCCTACCCCCGGGGGTCATGATTTGAACAAACTTGAATCTACACTACCTGAAGATGCTTCCATATAAATATGACTCATCATGGCTTTGCTGTTCTTGACAAGAAGATTTTTAAAGATTTTTCCTATATATTTCTATGTAAAACTTTGATTCTCCATTGTGGCCCTGCCCTACCCCCGGGGGTCATGATTTGAACAAACTTGAATCTACACTACCTGAGGATGCTTCCACATGAGTTTCATCTTTCCTGGCCCTACGGTTCTTGAGAAGAAGATTTTTAAATGATGCCATTATTTTTTCACTAAACCCTAATTATCTCCCCTTGAAAGAGGGCGTGGCCCTTCATTTGAACAAACTTGAATCCCCTTTACCCAAGGATACTTTGTGGCAAGTTTGGTAGAAATTGGCCCAGTGGTTCTTGAGAAGAAGTCGAAAATGTGAAAAGTTTACAGACAGACAGACAGACAGACAGACAGACAGACAGACAGACAGACAGACAGACGGACAGACAGACGGACAGACAGACGGACGCCGGACAAAATGTGATCAGAAAAGCTCACTTGAGCTTTCAGCTCAGGTGAGCTAAAAAGTGCCTCGCCACAGCATGATACGCCCGTCAAATATTGTTCAATTATCACAAACAGTTTAGAGTGCAAGAAAATCAAGTCAACCTTGATACAAGGATTTCCATGATTTTTCCATTCCTTATAACATTTGTTGATACATTTCCTGTGGTATAGGCATGAATTATAACAAATATTACATTATAGATCCTCATCCTCAACTGGTTGTGTTAGAGCTTGACAAATGCCCCCCCCCCCCCCCCCCCCCCCCACACACACACACACAACAGTGACACACACATCTTTCATATTTGTGAAACATGATACTCTGAAATTTGTTAGTTGATATTTTCAAAAAATTAAATAAAAATATCATATTAAACAATATGAATTTAGTCTTAACAACTTAATCTATACCAAATTAATTTCAAAATAAAAGACTGGCCATCAAATGAAATAATTGCTATAAACTGACCAGCAGTTCTTCTGTTTAATTCCCAAAGGATGCAGATAAGAACTGCTTGATCAGATATGCTCTAACAGAAATGATTGAGACAGCTAGCCTTCCTACACTGAACTCATTAATTAATCTTTAACTGGATGCATGTCCACTCATTACTCCCAAGGGATGAATGGATCTGCACTATCTGCTTTGCAGTGCAAATAAAATGTATATTTATGTCATACTGAAATTAAATTTGAAAACAAAGATTTTTTTTTTCAATTTGTTACAAAGATTTATAAAAAGAAAAAAAAATTGTAATCTTGATGCAACATTTTTAATAAGGTTTCTGCTTGACTCTTAGATTTGTAGGGACTATCTACCATAATTAAAACTTTTTTTGAAATACTTGATTTTTTTTTTTAGACTCAATGTCGGACTGGTTTTAAGCTGCAATTCATATGGACAACCCGCATGCTAATTCCAATATCACCCCCCCCCCCTCCGAGTATAATTAGTTTTAATTTATTAGTTTAATATAAGATATCAAATTAGTTTATTATACAATATCAAATTAGTTTTAATTACTTTTCACCAAATTCATTTTAAAAGTTAGGCTAGCCCACAAAAACTATGTAATCCAACATGGCTGATTCCCCTGCCCAATTCCCAAGAGATATAGATAACACCTGCATGATCAGAGATGCTCTACCAGTTAGCTCCTCACACTAAACTCATTAATTTCTCTCTAATTTGACATGCAATTTTCTGTTATCAAAATTCTCCTTGACCAGTGCTTGATAATTACACCCATGGGAGAGGTGGAATTTCTCTTGTAACATTATATTTGTTATAGATTGCTGTAAAGTATATAATGAAAAAAATAAGTATTTTCTTAATTTTAACATTTTTTTAATAAGGATACTGCAACACTTATACATTTTTTGGGATTGTGTAACATAACAGTAAAAAGACAGTTTTTTTTTTAAAATTTCACTTAAATTAAAGGTCACAGTGACCTTGAAATAGGTCGCAACACACCTTCTACCTAAGATGCATAAACTGGCCAAGTTTGATGATTCTAAGTCTAATAGTTTTCTAGTTATGAGCCGGACAGGATTTTTCCATATTTGGCCATAGCATCTTAATTAAAGGTCAGAACGACCTCCTCTTTGTGCGCGACACACCTTCTACCCAAGAAGTATCAGCTGACAAAGTTTGATAATCCTAGGCCTAATAGTATTAAAGTTATGAGCCGGACACGAGAAAAGCTAACAGACAGACAGATGGACGGACATGAACGCCATAACATAATACGTCCCGTCTAAAGACAGGCGTATAAAAAGCTAACACTACCAGTAACAGAATAGCTAACACTTCCAGTAAGGGAATAGCTAACACTTCCAGGTACGGAATAGCTAGAATGTGTGGTGTTTTTTTTTCCCCTCTTTTTAATTTTTTTTCATTACTTACAATATGTATTCTTTCTTATTTTTCTTCTCACACTATGATTAATTTATAACTTATTTAAGATACAATTGCCATGTTAAAAAATCTCTGTAATAGAAGAAATAAAAGATGAATGAATACTACCAATAACAGAATAGTTATAATTACCAATAACAGAAAAGCTAATAATATCAGTAACAGAACAGCAAACACTACTTTTGAGAGCAATGCATAGGAAATACTAGTCCCCTAAGGGCAGGTGTAATATTGTTTCCTTTAAAAAATTAAGAAGGCTTTAATTCCATAAAAAATCATCCAAGCAAAACGAAATGCAAACTTCGATCTGTAACTCAGCAAAGAAGTCTCAAAAACCAAAATCAGCTTAATACTGCAAATGTGTAGAAAAAAAGTGTGGAAAAACAAAGTGGGACAGACAGATGGACAGGCAAGGTCCCCTCCAGTTTCACCAGTGGGGACTTTAACAGAACAATAACATAAGAACTACCACTTTCTATAACATAACAACTTCCACTTCCAGTAACAGAATTTACCGATTACAGAACAACTCCGACTACCAATAACAGAGTAGCTAGCACTCACCATACATGAAAGTGTTGTACTATTGAAAGAAATAAAATAGTATTTCACAAAACATCATACAATGTTAGAAGTGAATAAAAATTAATGGCAAAGTTTATCCAAATAAGTTGGTACAGAATAATATTACAATAATCACTGATAACTGTGTACTAAATGGACATCACAAGAATATGCAAGTGAGTTAAGGCTAGGTATGGGTGTTTCTACTCATATGCAAATAAGTTAATTAAAACACAGTTGACCGTGAAATTCTCAATCCTTTGAGCCCTACCTCCCATAAAGTGCCCTTAGTGCAGTAACTTTTACATTGAACTCAAGCTTAAATATACCATTATTGAATAACTTCTTAAAAGTATTAGTGAATTTTCGATTTTGCGAGTAAATAATTTTGCAAGTAGCTAAAGTTTTCTCATGGTAATAAAAGTTAATTTTGAACCCAACAGACAATTAGAGAAGTAGCATAGTTTATGAAAAAATTACAAAAGTGTTAATTAATCAATTTTTTGGTAGATATGTAATGAAATGATTTACCTTTGGTATTTTGGAATTAGCTATGCATTGTAATGTCTTTGCTTTTAAATCCTCCATGGAAACAAGACCTAATCTTGGAATGAAGTCCTTTCCCAGAATCACAGAACAAATAAAGTCTCGACAGAAAACACTAGCATTGTAACTGGAACAAACAACAGGACATGGAAAAAGATTCAATATTTATAATAATATCCAATTAAGTGTCTGATTTGTCCTAAAATTTCTAGCTCTTTTCTTGGTATAAGCATGCAACCAATTTTACATGTATATGTCTAATGTATTTTCAAAAGCCCCACCCTAGAACTTGATCTCTACACTCAACAGTGAGTAATTTAACAGTTTTTGGCAGTGTTCATCACAGTCAAGCTGACAGTATGACTGCTGGATGTCAGGGAGTAAAGAAAATGTAAATGATAAATTTTACTTTCAGTATAAGAGGAACTTTTCCTCAGTCTGCCTTTTCCATTAGCCAAGCTAGGAGACAGGTTATAAAATTCTGGACTGATAGCTCATTACAGTCCTGGACAACAACTCTTAACGAATGTGAATCTGAATTACAAGGGGATCTTGTCTTAATTGTACTTTCTCTACAAGATAATTTTTAAGGTATCTAATTCTATATATCCCTGTTTATAATGTGAACCCATACTGTGGTCCTACCAGAGCTTCCAGTGGCCCTGATGTGGAAAAATGAGACTTTATAGTACATCAGAATATTTTCCTATAAATCTAAGCAACTATAGTTCTGTTGTGATTTTTTTTTTGCTAAAGACACCTGTACTAAACTTGTCGTTTCATACCTAAAAATAGACTAAAATCCTAAAGTCCAAAGGAGAAAGTATCTTGAATTCAAACATCTTGAGAGATTACTTACTAGAATTTCTCCTTTACAAAAATGGGTTGTACCTTTAACTCTTAGAGAAATTACCTAATATTCTACCTCTAAAATCTCTGATAGTGATCTCTAATCATACCTTAAAGGGGCCTGGACACAGCTGTATTGTCATTTGGTTTACAATTTTAATTTTCTTTTTTTTTCCCAAAAATAACTTCAGTTTAATGAATTGAACTTATCTGCACATTCTTAAAACATTGATCAATGACAATGACATTCTTCAAAAAATTAGGTCAAACATCTGTCTTTGTATACATGGGCACAAGATCTCTTATTGTTTATGTTTACATTTTACCAGGTGTGTTCAATTTGTTAACTCAGCACACATCAATGAACACAAACTGACAATGCTTGTGTGTTGGTTTTGCTTTCTAACATTTCTACTTTGAATTTTCTGGATAATAGTTTTAATATTTTTCATAACCACACAACAAATTTTCTAATTTTCTTAAACATTAAGAATAAATTATACTTCCTGAAAGTGTGGGGGTGTGTGTCAATCAAATGTATCCTGAAATTTGTTGTTTTCAAAATTTTCATATTTATGAAGTTTGTAAATGCACTTTTACAATATATTGGTCTGAAATGCTTTAGAAACATGTAAGTCATGATATTATATCAAAAAGTTTTGAAAAATAATATTAACTTCAAATCTGTGCCTAAGCCCCTTTATAAGAAATGACTTTTAAGCCTACCTCAAAAGACCTCCAGGTGGAGAATAAGCAAAGCACCGCACATCTGGATAATCAGACTTCAGTAACAGAGCTAATAATGAGGCTACACCAGCTCCTAAACTATGACCACAAATCATCAGTCCAGCACCCTGTAATATATATATATATATCAATGTAATCCCAGACCTTGGTTAGAAATATTTCCACAGGATATTAATGAAGAGTTTATTCTAGATAACAATGAGAGTTTAGTGTCATATGTTAGGTTGATTTACATGTATACTCTCAGCAGAAATCATTGGAATGCTGTGTCTAGAATAGCTTTAGTCAGCAGTTGTTGATATACAGTACATTCTCACCTGAACTTGTTGAAATGCTGCATCTAGAATGCTTTTAGACTGCAGTTGTTCCTGGATGTATTTAGCTGCCTGGAGCATGCCTCGGTGTGCCTTCCCATCCTCTAACATTTCAAGAGGGTCACATTCTGCAGACATATCTGTCACAGCGTCCTGTGTCAAAAAAACACATACAACACAATCTTAAACAATGAAAAAATTAAAGGAAACTGGATGTGAATCCACATTTGGCAATGATTTCTGTGCACAAGCTTTCAAGACCAATGCCAGTTATGGGAATCTTCTCAGAGCTATTAACTTTGGATATACAGTGAAACCTGTCTATGGGAGACAAATTTTACGGTGGAATAGACAGATGTCAGATTACACAGTGTAAAAACCACTCAAGATAGTAAAATGGGAATGAAAATAAAGGTCAGAATTCACAGTGGAACAGATTGTACAGGTGTCGGATAAGACAGTTTTTACTGTATATAACCTATTATATCGGAAAAGGTGATGGTAATACTCATATCGTCATAAAAAAAAGTACTTGTATATGGCTGTAAATTATGAATTACAGGGCCCAAAATAATTGATGTCCCACTGGTCTGGGGCCAGTGAATTTTTAATCTGGGCTAGTACATTGTAGAGGGCATATGCCCTTTGGGTCAAGTATCTTTAAGCACAAAATCAATTTTAAATTATCTACCAAATTATGAAAAGGGTATATGTATATAAGCCATCATTTAGATATAGTTTCAAATTTCATAAATTAACAAACAAATGTGTTACAAATGATCTTAATAAGAATTCTGATCAGAACAGGTTGTGTTTACCTTCAGTGATAAAGTTCCTCTGACGGACACGACCACTGTCTGGTGAGCTCTGTCTATTGCTACATAGAATGGGATCTGAAAAATCTACAAACCAACAGATTGTCTTATAACATGGAATGTAACAGAAGTATGGTGAAGCAATGCATCTTAACCCTCAGATTTTACATCACTGCACAATAGACATCAACAGTTCTTGGAATCATTCCTGTGTGTTTATAAAAAGACATAGGAAAATACCCCTTTGTACCGCTTACACTAAAATTCAGCAGGTTTTAAAATACATGATGCATAGTGGGTGGGGTTCATTGTTTCTTATGATTTAGAGTTCACCAAAGCTAAATCACTTGCCTTGTTATGGAAGGTGACATAGGGGAGGTCTTGATCTGCTATGTTTGTCTGTCGCCTAATGGCCGCCGTGTGACATTGACAACAGTTGTCATCTATGACTTCACCTCCATGGTAACAAGTGTGGCATCTTAGTGTAAAACAAAATTGGTAATTAAGTCAAGAGAGCCCAGTATTAAATGGGTCATCATGTCAGAACATTGAACATTGCATCATACTGTATTTGTTCATTCTTTCTTTACCTACATGCCCCACAAAGTCAAGAGAGCCCAGTAATCGGTCTCATATCAAAATACTGTAAACCAACTTTTATTCGCATGCGAAAAATATCCGCGAGTTTTGCGACATACTTTAAGTCGCGAATAATAATTGCCGCAAACTATTTATTTTGCTTTGTATTTGTATAGAATGTTTCTTCAGTCGCGAAAATTAATCGTCTCGGATTGATTTTAAACTGACGAATCGCGAATAAAAGATGACGCAAATAATAGTTGGTTTACAGTATACATTGTGTATCCTAATATACTGTACCCCCTTACCTACATGCCCCACAAAGTCGACAGAGCCCAGTTGCTAGATGAGTAAACATATACATAGGCCACCCATAACTGCCTGCTGCATACTTCATGTAGTGATGCATGTTTGTGGAAGTCATCCAGGGGGTAGGGCCTATGGGGGTATCATTGCTGCTGCCAACAGGTGCTTTTACACTAAACAACATGACAAATATCTGCTAACATAAATTCATCATCGTAAGTCACAGGTTTTGTGTCCATTCTATTTCTACAAAGGTCGCAAACCAAAGGTTTTGCATCCATTCGAATGGACACAAAACCCATGGCTTGTTTGTAGAAATAGAATACACATAAAGTGCCTCGCCACAGCATGATACGCCCGTCAAATATTGTTCAATTGTCATAAACAGTTTAGAGTGCAAAAAAATCATGTCAACCTTGATACAAGGATTTCAGTGATTTTTGCATTCCTCATAATATTTGTTTATACATCTCCTGTGGTGTAGGCATTAATTATAACAAATATTACATTATAGATCTTCTACTGGTTGTGTTAGTGCTTGACAAATGCCCATCTGCAGCCCCCCCCCCCCTTTCCAGCTTTCAGATTTGTGAGACATGATGCTCTGAATTTGTTGATTGATATTTTCAAAAAAATAATTAAAATATCATATTAAACAATATCAATTTAGTCTTAACAACTTAATCTATATCAAATTAATATCAAAAATAAAAGGCTGGCCATCAAATGACATATGCTATAAACTGACAAGCAGTTCTTCTGTCTAATTCCCAAAGGATACATATAAGAGCTGCTTGATCAGAGATCCTCTAACAGAATGATTGAGACAGCTAGCCTTCCTACACTGAACTCATTAATTAATCTTTATCTGGATGCATGTCCACTCATTACTCCCAACGGATAAATAGATCTATATTGGATACTATCTACTTTGTAGTGCAATAAAACTGCATATTTATGTCATTCTGATATTAAATTTGAAAACAAAGATTTTTTTTTTATTTGTTACAAACATTTATAAAAAGAAAAAAAAATGTGTAATCTTGATGCAATATTTTTAATAAGTTTCCTGCATTACTCTTAGATTTGTAGGGACTATCTACCATAATTAAAACATTTTTTTAAAAATACTTGATTATTTTTAGATTTAATGTCAGACTGGTTTTAAGCTGCAATTCATACAGACAACGGACATGCTGATTCCAATACACCCCCCCCAAAGTATAATTAGTTTTAATTATATTATACAATATCAATTATTTTATTATACAATATCAATTTAATTTATTATACAATATCAAATAAGTTTCAATTACTTTTCAACAAATTCATTTTCAAAGTTAGACTAGCCAACTATTTAATCCAACAGGGCCGATTCTTTTTACCCAGTTCCCAGGAGATATAGATAACACCTGCTTGATCAGAGATGCTCTACCAGTTAGCTCCACACACTCAACACATTAATTTCTCTCTAATTTGACATGCAATTTTCTGTTATCAAATTCTCCTTGACCAGTGCTTGATAATTACACCCATGGGAGAGGTGGAATTTCTCTTGCAACATTACATTTGTTATAGATTGCTGTAAAGTATATAATGAAAAAATAAGTATTTTCTTGATTTAACATATTTTTAATAAGGATACTGCAACACTCTTGCATTTTTTGGGATTGTGTAATCAAATAATAAAAAGACAGTTTTATTTTTAAATTTCACTTAAATTAAAGGTCACAGTGACCTTGAAATAGGTCGCGACACACCTCTACCTAAGATGCATAAATTGGCCAAGTTTGATGCTAATAGTTTTCTAGTTATGAGCCGGACAGGATTTTTCCATATTTGGCCATAGCATCTTAATTAAAGGTCAGAGCGACCTACTTTTAGTGCGCGACACACTTTCTACCCAAGAAGTATCAGCTGACAAAGTTTGATAATCCTAGGCCTAATAGTATTAAAGTTCTGAGCCAGACACGAGAAAAGCTAACAGACAGACAGACGGACATGAATGCCAAAACATAATACGTCCCGTCTAAAGATGGGCATATAAAAACCTGTGGCTTACAACAATGACATAAATTATGTTTAAACAAATGCCCTACTCAAGTTTATTATAGTTTCAAAGTGCATCACTGCATTTTCTGCCAGTAAGAAGAATAGCTTGTTGCTATATTTTAGAAGAAGTGTTGAATTATTTGAATCTGACCTTGTTTGAAGCTCTGCAAACGTGTTGTAAGACTTGCCACCACTGTTGAAGAGTTTTTCCTGATCCCTTTGTACTAAGATTAGACCAGCTGCAATATCAGTAGGCACCAAGTCCAGGTCCTGAAAATAAGACATCAAAGTAGTTCTCAACTTTCAAAAGTTTGAGGACTATAAATATATATAAAACAAGTGTGCATGTAATTTAAAAGTTTCATATTGTTTGAAATGGAAAACAACTATACAACCTTACTCACTCAAACCATGTTCAATCAAACTTATTCATAATTCGAGCTAACCACAAGAGGTACAGTGATTCAGAAATAAACTTGAAGTTGATCAAAGAGATTGTACCTGGAATAAATCTGCTTCACGTTGACTAAAAATTAATTTAGAGTTACCAGGTATTTAAGTAACCAGAGAGATTGTACCTGGAAGAAATCTGCTGGAAGTTGACTAAATATTAATTTAGAGTTAATCAATAATATTGTACCTGGAAGAAATCTGCTAGAAGTTGACTAAATATTAATTTAGAGTTAATCAATAATATTGTACCTGGAAGAAATCTGCTAGAAGTTGACTGATTTCATCAAAAGCATCCTTGCTCTGTTCATCCCCCAGTACACAACAGCATAAAAGTCTACATCTGGAAAAGAGGCTTGTTACATAAAAGTCTACATCTCGAAAAGAGACTAATGGTACATAAAAGTCTACATCTGGAAAAGAGGCTTGTTACATAAAAGTCTACATCAGGAAAAGAGACTAATGGTACATAAAAGTCTACATCTGGAAAAGAGGCCTGTTACATAAAAGTCTACATCTGGAAAAGAGACTAATGGTACATAAAAGTCTACATCTGGAAAAGAGGCTAATGTTACATAAAAGTCTACATCTGGAAAAGAGGCTTGTTACATAAAAGTCTACATCTCGAAAAGAGACTAATGGTACATAAAAGTCTACATCTCGAAAAGAGGCTAATGTTACATAAAAGTCTACATCTGGAAAAGAGGCTTGTTACATAAAAGTCTACATCTGGAAAAGAGGCTAAAGTTACATAACAGTCTACATCTGGAAAAGAGGCTCGTTACATAAAAGTCTACATCTCGAAAAGAGACTAATGGTACATAAAAGTCTACATCAGGAAAAGAGACTAATGTTACATAAAAGTCTACATCTTGAAAAGAGGCTAATGTTACATAAAAGTCTACATCTGGAAAAGAGGCTTGTTACATAAAATTCTACATCTGGAAAAGAGGCTTGTTACATAAAAGTCTACATCTGGAAAAGAGGCTTGTTACATAAAAGTCTACATCTCGAAAAGAGGCTAATGGTACATAAAAGTCTACATCTGGAAAAGAGGCTTGTTACATAAAAGTCTACATCTCGAAAAGAGACTAATGGTACATAAAAGTCTACATCTGGAAAAGAGACTAATGGTACATAAAAGTCTACATCTGGAAAAGAGGCTTGTTACATAAAAGTCTACATCTCGAAAAGAGACTAATGGTACATAAAAGTCTACATCTCGAAAAGAGGCTAATGTTACATAAAAGTCTACATCTGGAAAAGAGGCTTGTTACATAAAAGTCTACATCTCGAAAAGAGGCTAATGTTACATAAAAGTCTACATCTGGAAAAGAGGCTAGTTACATAAAAGTCTACATCTCGAAAAGAGACTAATGGTACATAAAAGTCTACATCAGGAAAAGAGACTAATGTTACATAAAAGTCTACATCTGGAAAAGAGGCTTGTTACATAAAAGTCTACATCTGGAAAAGAGGCTTGTTACATAAAAGTCTACATCTCGAAAAGAGACTAATGGTACATAAAAGTCTACATCTGGAAAAGAGGCTTGTTACATAACGTTTCTATACACAGGTGAGTTAAGGCTACATATGGGTGTTTCTATGCAAATGAGCCAAACAAAACACATAAGAGGTATACCTTTTACATGAAGAAGGTTTAGACTCTATTTCTAATACATTCTTAGTACCAATGACAAACTATAGTCAGTACATTATCATAGTATGTCATTGTTTTTTACTACTACAGTCAAACCTTGTTATCTCAAACTCAATGGGACCGAGGAAAAAACTTCAATATATCCAAGGGGTTCGAGATATTGAGGGTAAAATACTTAAGAAATACATGGTAAGGACTTCCCAGTCACTTCCACATATCCATGATATTCAAGATATCCATGTTCGAGATACAGAAGTTCAAATGTAGATGTTATAAAGAACATCAACAATACAGCTTTAGCACAATGACATAACATTTTATTTTTTATATACATATGATATAATAAGAAGAATATTCTAAAGATTGACAGAACTACTGCATAAAACCTATGCATTATCTCTTTTATTGAGAATTTAATAAAACTTCAGGCTGGGCTATACATTTTAACCAAGTTTCAGCTGAAAACTCTACAATAAGTAACTTAACAATTTAATTAACAACATTTGTATAACTGAATACTCCAAATCTTTGGAATATTTTACTCCTTATTAAAACTGCTCCTGTAAAATTAAATAGGATATGCCCTTATATCAATGCTGTTTTGTTGATGTTTTTTATTTCTTCAAGTAGTAGAAAAAAACATCTCATGTTTTTATTAGCTATTTGCAAAAACTTTATCACACTTGTGTAGTAATATGTATTTATTTAGTTCATTTTGTAAGCCAAAAAGAGATTTAAATTTATACATGTATATACTGTTACAGTAAAATCAATTAAAAAGAACTTGCTTAGAAGGAAATCCTGGTTATAATGAATTTTTTGTGAATCCCATAGAAGGCTACACTATGTTCCTTATACGGATAAAAAAAATCTTGGTTATATTAAAGGAAGTAAAATTGGTGATCCCATTGACTCCCTTATAATCAAGTAATCCATGTAATCTACTAAATCTTTTCCTTAATTAATTCGTATCATTTACAGTAAAAATGTATTGGAAAGAAGAGAACATAAAAGCTTACTAGCTTGAAATATATTCATTTCAAAACTTAAGTTTATATATACCAACTACACATGTAGAAAAAAAGTCTTAATCTAGGATATCAATTGAACACATTCTTTCAATGGAAACTATATGCATGTGAACAGGAAATTTGAGTAACAAAGAAACAGTGTTACGATAACTTAAATTAAGTATTTCCTGATCTTTCTTACCCTTTTGTAAAATGTAAATGCATGTGTGCACATTGTGTGTAAATTATCAAATCTAAAAGTGAACCTTACCTTTTTTCCCAGGCCTTTTTGGCAGCACTCATAGCACCTTCTAAAAACTGTGTTGATTCTTTGCTTTGTAATTCACCAGAAATCCTAGGTTTTATCTTATTTAATTTTCCAAGTGGATCAAACACTACTATTATCCCTATAATGACCAACACTCCTAAAATCCATCCTGTGAGGACTGCCCCCTGGACGGTCTTAACAACAAAAACCTGGCAGTTACTGGAACGTAAAAATGACCAGTATGTTCCTAGAATGTTCCAGACAATTTCTGGAACTGTGATGACTAGTTTTAAATACAGTAATTTGGCAAGCTTTTTTCTGGGGCCAGTTATCATGATAGTGCCTCGGCTACTCACATACACTATACATGCGCATATTATAATTGCCACACTTAGCAGAGCCATGAAACCAATGTAGTAGATCTTCAACAGATTTCCATCTTTGCATTGATATATGGATTCACTGTGCACACTATATACAATCGCAATCACTGTTAACCTGCAAAACATATTTAAGAATATACATGTACTCAATATGATTCATCTCAGTTCGAGGTTCATTTCAGCTTAATTAAGAATTATGTACAGGTGTGGAGGTCAGGTAGGTTTGTTTGCCAGTGTAGCCTGACCAGATCATTTGGTAGAGCACTTGCCTAGGGGGACCAGGTTAGAATTCTGGTCCATCACATTTTCTCCCTTGTTTCATTTGGTGCCATGCCCTGGAACTGACAGCTAGGTGAAAGACCAGATAAGAAAGAGTCTGGGTTGGTTACACATCTTTAGGTGGTGTTGGAAAAGGGGGAGGGGGGAGGGAAGACATTTAAGTAGAGTGGAATGTGTTGGTCATTCAGGCATGTTCGTTCAGCAGTGGCCAGATAGCAGGTCAAGTTCTAGTGCCCCCTAGATTAAATCCTGGGTCTTACTTAGAGTTTTCTCCATTTCTGTTACAGTGTAACACAGTAATAGCTAGGACAATACTGATGTGAATTAAGGAGGATATGAATCGCAGAGAATATCACTAATCTATATGATTTACATATTAATTAAAAATTGATGCTTAACTTCATATTGGTAGAAATTTGGCAGTCAGATGGGTTCAATTGCTGGTGGCCTGAGGTAGCTCAGTTGGTAGAGTACCTGACTGGTAATTCAGATCAGATATTTTTTCAGTAACCGGAGAGCAGAAAAATGCCATGGACCAGACCAGGTTTCAAATCCTGGCCTGGTTAGCAGCATTTTTTCCTCTCCGACTACATTTGGTGTCATGACCATTCCCTGAAAGTGACAGGTGTTCTCAGGAGTGAAGACGTTTACGGAGGATCGAGGAACGTGGCAGTGAGACGGCCAGATAGCTCAGTTGGTAGAGAACCTAATTACTGAGTAGTTATTCAGGAGGCCAGGGTTTGAATCCTGGTCTGGTCTGTTGCATTTTCTCCTCTCCGTGTAAAATGTTTTAGTGCATATTGGGAGGACAAAATGAGATAATAGCTTCCTAATTTGTTTCTGGTATATATGCGTCTTCAATAAAAGAAGTGTTTAGGAGACTTAGATTTAATATCCTCTAGTTTTGTTTTTACTCATGAACTGCATATAAATTATGGCATAGCATTTACACTAAAGAGAAGAGCAGATTTATCATGTTAAACTTTATATTTCATACGAGCTACATATATAGGCTACTCATCCGAGATTCCTCTGACTCTAACCCCTGCTTTTATATTGTGACATGTGCAGGGGAGACATGTCACAATATAAAAGCAGGGGTTAGAGTCAGAGGAATCTCGGAATAATAGGCTACAATATACTTGGTCTTGATATGACGCATTGGTGTATGATCATCAATTATGAAAATAATTTACCAAATTACACGCAAACATAACTCGAGGAGTTCTGGGAAGACGAAATCATCTGACCCTATTCCCCATCTTCTGTTAAAAGCAATCAGTCCAGGCATCTTGCAGTTCTGTGATATTACATCGTCGTTCGTTTGACACTACTATTTGACAACAATGCGTTTACCTCCCTTGCCACCGGAAGCACGTGCTTGTACGATTGCATCGCCGATCCTGCATCTTATAGTTATAACATGTGTAAGTAGAGAAACTCATTGACATGAATTTTCAAGACAGTGATAAACAACTTTGATACCTTTAAATCAAGGAAAATATTGGTTTTCATTTGAACAAACTCTTAATTTATCAATTTCCAAAGAGCTTTGGTCCCATCACTCCGCCCCCCCCCCTCCCCACTTGCCCTGTCCTAGTCTCCTGTAAGCCTCGCCCCAGTTGCCCTGAAAAGCATCCACATTATTTTCACCTAGTTATGCCACTGGATAAGTTAATTTAGATCTACTCATTAACTTACTTACAATATTTAACCCACATAACATCCCTAGCTTCAACAATACAATATTTTTTTGTGAATTAATTTAAAAGTTAACAAATTTTGATTCACTGCATTAATTCACTGTGAATTGATGCAGAATTCCTCCAACTCTGGCTTGTATCTGTTCATAGGGATAGTGCATTAAAGAGTCAGAGCACATGCCTTATTAAAATTAACCTAGCTGCATGTAGTTAAAATTTATTCTTACCCATTCATTTTTATTTTGCACTGAGATCATGGAGATGCTGTATATATTGGGTGCAGAAAGACAATGTTGTTTGTTATTATTTACAAATCTGTGTGTGACTGGGCATGGCAGATTATAAGAATTTGTGAAGAAAAAGACCTGTACTGGTTGGTACAAGTGGATTCCCTGTATTTCATTGTGTATGCCACCAGATCCTCTCTCAAACATCAGTATCAAGAGGCCAGACTAGGAGAGTTATCAGATTGACAGAGAGTGTGATGGCTGTCATGTCACATAGGGGGAGAATCAATCATAGAACTGAGAAATTATGGGTCCCATGCATAACCAATGCTCGTTATAGTAAACAGTTTTTCTCAGACTCTCATTCTTTATTTTTTTTTTTAATTTTCAGGAGACACAAGGCTAGCTGAGTGTCTCTTGAAAATCAAAAAAATTAAGGAACGAGACTGAGTTTGAGAAAACAGTTAACTAATGAGCATTGGTCATGGGACCTGTTTTTCTAAGTTCTATGATTGACCTGTTTTTTTCGTATTACAACCTGTGTGTTTGGGTGAAATAAACATGGCACTGAAGAGTTTGCCAGATCCTGATAATGTGTGCATCCTGGGTAATATACCTCGACAGTCTGTCGAAAAGAAATATACAAGGGAAAAGATAAAAGAATAAAAAATTTAATGATAGATGTTTACAAATATGCACTGTACCCATGTCATATGCCATCATAGGCATGATCTTTGAGAGTAGATCCTGGAAAAAATAGCCAATTAGAATTGTTGTACTTAGGTATAATCAGAGTAGACCTAGGTGTGTCATAACATGTTATGAACACAAAAAAAGAACAATCACGTGGGAGTGATGAAAAAGTTGATAATGGGAGAAAGTGAATTACAATTGTCAAAAATTGTGTATATTTCAGATCAAGTTTAACGCATATCAAAGTACCAGGTATTGACAAATTTTATGATGTGTTATGTTATTGCAGGCTAAGTGTTTGTGGGTTATATTAACTAATTTTAGAAGTTAATCCACAGTTTGTTTAAATCATAATACTGCATATTCTCCTATAGATAATGATATACACTAGTGCTATCATAATACATGAGGTAACCAAATGGGCAAGGTTACGGCAGAACAGTGGCCAAAACTGAAACACCTTCTACAACTCCGTGGGTTTGTTACTCAGAAGTCGGCAGACCACAGTGGAAGCAGCTATAAATTTGGACCAGCAGGGACTTTACTGAAGAGAAATATTAGACAAACATGGTATGTTGAGTAACAATGCTACCTTTTATGGTAAGCTAACAAAAATACTAATGTTAGTACAGAGTGTATGATTTATACCTTGGTTCAAGTTTATTTCAAATCATGACCTTCCAGGGAAGGATTGGACCCATTTGAAACTTTTATCCCTACTGGGATATTAGAAAAATGTGTTTAAAAATTTTCCTCTCAAGTGTAGCAGGTCCATGATTAGTGATAATAATATGCTAGCATCCTCAGTAAGTGCAGATTTTACTTTGTTTAAAACATTGCTGCATCAAATAGGATGGGCCCACAAAAAGGATATCAAAGTTTTACGTGGGATTTATATATATATTAAAAACTTTAAAAAAAAATTTAATTCATGATCAGGTCCTTGATTAGTGATATACATGTAATTAAATATGCAAACATTGTCAGGTCCTGTAGATGCAACTTTTTGACTGCTGGGGCCACAAAAGAAAAACAATGAAAAATCTTTGAGAGAATCTTAATCATAGTAAAATATTGGAAGTATCCTCAGGTTGTTTAGATTCAAGCTTGTTCAAATTATCACCCCTGGCACTAGGATGGGACTGATGTTTTGAAGAGTAAGCGTTGTGGCCCGTGAGCCTCTTGTTCTGTAATCTGTTAAATGTAAATGAATATTTCCACATATATTTCTGCTAGAGTATAATAATCTTTACTTATAAACATGGCCATTCTGTTATAGGTGGGACTGGGTGGTGATTAGACAAGATTGGAGGGTTTTCCCAGTGGAGGGAGGAATTCTGAAAACGGACAAGTAAGGTCAAAATTTTTCCAGGTGTTTTGTTTGTTGTTAATAGCAAATGAAAATATTACTACATTCTCCATGGTTTTAACCACCACTATTGTTTTTTAATCAGGTCAAGTAATTCTCTGAGAGAAAGTTTTCAAGAAGGTAAGACTGTATAAGATAATCCCAAGATCTACATTTTCAAGGGTAGAAAGCTCATTTCAGGCTAGTGATGTTTATTATGTATTATGACAGAGTGTTTGGATCATTTTGGGGACATTCACAAGATGTTTAACAGTGCTCTCCCTTTCTCTCTGGCTCACACTGGAGTCTGCTTCAAACACTCAGTAAAAGAACCTCATCATTTCCTCTTCGAGTGAGTATTGTTATGTATTTTATAAGTATTTTTTATATTTCCTCTTAGAGTGAGTAGTGTTGTTATGTATTTTAAAAGTATTTTTTATATACATTGTACTTATCAGTATTGTACATATTAAGTTTTTTATATAGATTGTATTTTTGAGTATTGTTATATTTTAAAGCTATATATGGCATATCTGAGCTAAAAAATAATAACATGAGATTGAGTGTAGATAACCATGATATATGTTATTTACGTTTAAATTAAAATTTTCACCAATTTTGAACTTAAATACCTCATGTTTCCGTAGTCAATTTGACTTTAAACTGTGTCAGTTATTTACAGTGTAATTGCGGAGTCAGTAAATAAATCGGTTATTGTTTTAAATTTCTAATATCTTTGAAACGTGATTGATTTAGATTGTGTGAAAAGTCCTATCTTTATATGAAGTAAAGCTAGGGCTTTCATACTTCACATATGTAATCCTTATGACAAGACCTTTCTTTGGATACAATAACTTTGACCTTTTGACCTTGACCTAGGAGTTTGACCTACTTTTGAAAAAACTTCAACCTTGGCAATAACTTTTGAACGGTCGGTGCTAGGGCTTTCATACTTCACATATGTAATCCTTGTGTCAAGACTTCCTTTGGATACCAACAACTTTGACCTATTGACCTTGACATTGGAGTTTGACCTACTTTTCGAAAACTTTAACATTGGCCATAACTTTTGAACAGTTAGTGCTAGGGCTTTCACATTTAACATGTGTTTATTCCTTGTAACAAGACCTTCCTTTGCATACCAACAATTGTAATCCATTGACCTTGACCTTGGAGTTTGACTACTCTTGAAAAACTTAACATTGGCCATAACTTTGTTATGGTTGGTGCTAAAGCTTTCATATTTCACATGTGCATTTCTTTTGAGAAGGCCTTTCCTTGGGCACCATTAATATTTACCATGTGACCTTGACCCTGATGTTTTACTTACTTTTGAAAAACTTTAACTTTTTCCATATCCATTCAATGATTGTTGCTAGGGCTTTCATATTTCAGAGGTATATTCCTCGATATTTCTCGAGACAAGACCTTACTTTGGGTACCAACATATTTGATTTGCATTTGAGAAAGTTTAACCTTCACTATAAGTTGCCATACAGGGGGCATCAGTGTTTCACAAGCACATCTTGTTTTCATATAAATGTACCTGATACTCCATAATACTAGTAAATCTTTACAGTTCCAGAGAGCTGACCAGTCTGGTGACCTTCAGTTTCTGTAGACCTCAGTCCTCAGTCAAACAGTTTGACCAGCTGGTGACCTCTCGTCTTATGTGGTGGCGTAAGGTAAGACATGGAAAGACTATTTTATTTATGTGATGGTGTTAGTTAAGACATGGACAGACTCTAGTATTTATGTGGTGGTGTAAGGTAAGACATGGACATTCTCTAGTATTTATGTGGTGGTGTAAGGTAAGTCATGCACATACTCTAGTATTTATGTGATGGTGTAAGGTAAGACATGGACAGACTCTAGTGTTTATGTGGTGGTGTAAGGTAAGTCATGCACAGACTCTAGTATTTATGTGGTGGTGTAAGGTAAGACATGCACAGACTCTAGTATTTATGTGGTGGTGTAAGGTAAAACATGCACAGACTCTAGTATTTATGTGGTGGTGTAAGGTAAGACATGGACATACTGTAATATTTATGTGGTGGTGTAAGGTAAGACATGCACAGACTCTAGTATTTATGTGGTGGCATAAGGTAAGTCATGCACATACTCTAGTATTTATGTGGTGGTGTAAGGTAAGACATGGACAGACTCTAGTGTTTATGTGGTGGTGTAAGGTAAGTCATGCACAGACTCTAGTATTTATGTGGTGGTGTAAGGTAAGACATGCACAGACTCTAGTATTTATGTGGTGGTGTAAGGTAAGACATGGACAGACTCTAGTATTTATGTGGTGGTGTAAGGTAAGTCATGCACACACTCTAGTATATATGTGGTGGTGTAAGGTAAGACATGCACAGACTCTAGTATTTATGTGGTGGTGTAAGATAAGTCATGCACAGACTCTAGTATTTATGTGGTGGTGTAAGGTAAAACATGCACAGACTCTAGTATTTATGTGGTGGTATAAGGTAAGACATGCACAGACTCTAGTATTTATGTGGTGGTGTAAGGTAAGACATGGACAAACTCTAGTATTTATGTGGTGGTGTAAGGTAAGTCATGGACAGACTCTAGTATTTATGATAATGTCTGAGGGAGATTAATTTGTTACAGTTTGTAGCATCTTACTTCAAAAACTTTATGACTTCTGTAAACACTTGAAATTTTAATACGTTTTAATAGAAGGTTATTTGTTGATTGAGGATTTCATGTAAAACAACAAAAGAGCTGGAGATAAATAAACTGTAATGTTAACACCTCACATATAACACTCAGTCACCTCTGTCAGTTTGCAGGAAGTCCCTCCAGTTTTACAGAGAAAGTGTCAAAAGATGAGGAGAATGTCATACATATACAGTACGAGTTTCCTTGGGGACCTGATTCAGTGGAGGTCATAAAGAATCATGGGAGAAATTTTCTTGAATCCTCTTCCCATCCAGATATCAAGGAATTGATGTCATCTAACCAAATTCTAAAAGTAATTGAAATAGGCAATCATATATGCTAAATTTAATTTAATTTAAAAAAACAAACTATTTTCTTGTCATTACATGTATAATCTGTACATGTATATTCTGTACATTTACTCTCTGTACATGTACATCCTACTACGGATATATTGAAATTCAGAGGACCATGCAAATTATTTCAATATATCCGTAATTCAATATATATGAAATCGACTGAAATGAAGCGGCCATTTTTAAAAGTTCAATCCCGATCTAAAATGAAGAAGAATAAACCCAAACAAATTAATTTGGTTATCTATTACAGTGAATAGATTACATGGAATACTGTGTTTGATGGCTATGTTTGAGGATCTTGCATTTGTGATCCATTTGAAAAGACAATTTTCAACCTCATTATAATTCCCCGAATGCATTCTTTTACCTTTTGGAGAAAAATCACCAGATTTAAAAGCTTCAATTACTGCTTGTATATCATCATAATTGTACTCGGGTTAATCCCAAAATCCTTAACTATTTCGGATTAAGGCTTTGTCTTCTTACTGATAGCCATAACTAGTTCGTATTTAGTGTCTTAAGACAGTTTTTCTTTTCTGTGGGGTTCCCATATTACGTCTAGCCTCAATACGTCCGTATACGTGAAAACAAAGAATTCAACAGTGAATAAATTTTATTTTGTAAAAGCAGTATAAAAACACATAAGGTGAGAACTTATTAATTCACACACTTGTATATCAAGCGGTCAGTCAGGCATAATTACTGTCACCAACCGTAATGACAGCCGCCAGGGAGTACTTCAATATAACCGTTATGAAAACAACTCATTATCACCTCTAGGGACCGATCGGTGGCTTCAATTTAATGGATATTTCAAAATAGCCAATTTCATTATACCCATTATTTTAATGCAAAGAAAATGAGAGGCTAAAACTGGGGATTTATTTTTATTTGAAAATAAGCGGAATTTCAAAATAAGCGATTTCAATAGAAGTGGAGTAAGCTGTATACTCTGAACACGAATATGCTGTACATATTACTCTGTACTTGTACTCTGTATACTATGTAATACTCTGTACATATATACTCTGAATATGTACATTATGAAATACTCTGTACATGCAGAATCTGTACATGTAAACTATTGTAATAATCTGTACCTGTATACAGTAAAACTTGGTTATAGCGAAGTTCTGGGGACCTGAGAATTTACTTCACTATATCCGTAATATCTGTATAACAAATTCGTTAAAGTATACATAGCGACTTCGCAATATAGATTTTTTTTTCCTTGAAGTATGACTACCAAATGTATTTAGGAAGTATAAAATATAAAATTTACCTTGGAGTTCAAATATGTTCGGATGAATAGTGTTCTAATATATATACTTACAAAGTAAATGTCAGTTCAATATTTTAAAAACTAAATTCTTTAAAAATTCGCTATAAAAGATGTAAATTTCGTTATTTTTAACTTCTAGGGGACACAGAATCAGTTCGCTATAACCGTAAATTCATTATATCCGAGTTCGTTATATCTGTAATATTTTACAAGGAATTGTTAAGAATTTTGCCGGGGATGAATTTGTTATATCCGTGTTCGTACTAAACAAGTTTTAATGTATTCTATACATGAATACTCTGTACATGTATACTTTGTACATGTATACTATGTAATATTCTGTACATGTATTTTCTGTACATGTATTCTCTGTACATGTATAATCTGTACAGGTATACTCTATACATGAATACTCTTTACATATATCCTCTGTACATGTATTCTATGTACATACATGTATATACTCTGTTCATATATACTCTGTACATATATACTCTACATGTACACTGTGTAATACTGTGTACATGTATACTCTGTACACTATGTACATTAATACATGGTGTATGTATATTCTGTACATGTATTCTCTGTAAATGTTTACTCTGTAAATGTATAGTTATACAAGTATATTTTGTACATGTATTCTCTATACATGTATAATCTGTACACAATGTACATGAATACACTGTACATGTATATTCTGTACATGTACAGTATTCTGTACATGTATACTCTGCATGTGTTTTCTGTACATTTTTTCTGTACATGTATACTCTGTAAATGTATATTCTGTACATGTATATTTTGAACATGTATATTTGGTGCATGTATACTCTGTACATGTATACTGTGTATATGTATTCAGTATTTTGTGTGTTTTTTTCCAGCCTTCTAATGGACAGGAGAGCTGTGTGCCTTCAGTGATCGAGAGCAATATGTTCCTGGAGGGAGGCATGCTGGCTTACATATTAGATGCTTACACAGAGAAAAAGACTTTCTCCCTGGACACTGAACATGAAGGCAAGGGAACAAGAAAGGTAAGATTGCAGGGATTGTTTGGGGGGTCATGGGGTCAAAGGATGTGGTTCCTGTGTTCTGAGAGCACTTGTACAGCACATATACCCAGAATCTTAAGTATATAATGGATTTGTAGCTCTTTTCATTTTAAAGTGTGGTGTAAACCAAATTAATTACAAAATCTCTCCCCTCCCCCTCCCCTTCTCCCCAAAAAAAATCTTGAATTTATTTTGGGATGTTCCTGTAAATCTTTATGATTCTTCCTTCCCTCGGGCAGATTTCCAAAGTGTCATCAGAATCTTTGGATAAATTTGAAAGAAACATATTGCTAGCAGTTGTTGAAAGTCCCCCTCCCCAAAAGGGGGTGGAAAAAAAAACACCATCACACTTGACATTAGCTTGACCCACGTTAAAGTTTTAATTCTTTGTCCTCCCAGTGTGCCCTACATTTTAAATATTTTGCAAAGACAGACATGATGAATATATACATGTAATCTCATTTCAACTTTGTTGGTAAAGTTACATGTTAAAGAGAATTTTTGTTCTACATGCAATTACTTGAAGTTGAAAAAAAGCTTTGCTGGGATTGTTGGAGTCATATGGACAAAGGTCATGGCTTCTTCAAAGGCAGATTTCTGGTCTGTTTGGATGGATTGGGATGTTTATATTTGCTCTGTTTGTTTAAATCAAATATTTCAGCTTTTTTTGCTCACCAAAGCCATAGGCTCAAGTGAGCCTTTCTGAATGAAATTTTTCCATTGTTCATATCATTGACGTTGTTGTAAACTTTTCCATCTTCTCTAGAGCCAATTGGCCAATTTTAACCAAACTTGCAAAGAAGCATTCTTGGGTGAAGAGGATTCAAAATTACTCAAGGGAAATAATTAAGAATAAGTGAAAAGTAAATGGCATCTTTCAAAAATCTTCTCAAGATCCACTGGGCCAGAAAAGATGAAACTTTTCTGAAGGCTTCATTACATAGTGTAGATATAAGTTTATTCTAATCATTTCCCCGGGGGGTAGAGTGGAATCAAAGTTTTGCATAGGAATATATAGGAAACCATCTTTAAAAACCTTCTTCTCAAGAACATCAAAGGCATGATAAGTCATATTGATTTGGAAGCATCTGCAGGTAGTGTAGATTCAAGTTTGTTTAAATCATGAGCTCTGGAAGTAGGGTGAGGCCACAATGGATGATCAAAGACAAGTAGGAAAAAATCTTTAAAAATCTTCTTTTCAAGAACAGCAAAGGCATGATTAGTCATTTTGAAGTGAAAGCATCCTCAGGTAATGTGGATTCACATTTGTTCAAATCATGGTAATCTGGGGTAGGGTGGGTCCACAATGGATGACATAATTTTACATAGGAATAATAGAAAAAAAATCTACTTTTAAAGAACAGCAAAGGCATGATTAGTCATATTGATATGGTAGCATCCTCAGATTTTGTAGATTCAAATTTGTTCAAATCATGACCCCCAGCCTAGGGTGGGGCCACAATGGGGGATCAAAGTTTTACATCAGCAAAGGCATGATTGGTCATACTGATATTGAAGCATCCTCGGGTAGTGTATTTTCAAACTGTTCAAATCATGGCCCTTAGGATAGGGTGGGGCCACAATAGACGATCTCAGTTTTACAAAGGAATATATAGGGAATAATTATGCTGATGAAAAACAGTAGGGCCATAATGACTCATGTGATTGTTGTGGCCCAACAATGGCCCTCTTGTTTACATTGGAATGTACAAAATTAGTAAGATTTTGCAAATAGTGGGAAACTCACCTCCTATTGACAATTAGATTTATGTTAACTTATTACCAAACATTTTGCATTATTCATAGGTTCTGCAGCTTCATCCTGCTTTTGCCCCATACAACTTGTCCATTGCTGTGACAGAGAATGGTAACCCAGTTCTTAAACAGGTCATAAAACACATCACCAAGGAGATCCACGATGCCAACATCCTCTCTCTGGATGTCAGTTCCAGTACTGACTCCCTAGAGCACCAGTTTATTAGGTACATTTACTGTAGTTTACCAATGAACAGTTTACTGATTTTTCTGTCTCACTGCCCTTCTAGTTTATATATTTTTCATGAATAGGAATGATGAATTAGGGATCCCCTTCAGTGTAGTGATAGATGATACTACAATAGACATGGCCTGTATTGGTGTAAGGCACCGTGACAGCACACTGAAGGTAAGACAGAGGGAGTTTACTGAACAAACTTTGTTACTTCAAATGCTTGATTACACAACTACTAATATATTTTTCAGGAGAAAATCCATATCACTGAAATAAAAGATTTCATACAGAGACAAATTCAGTGAGGAGAGGTAAACAGAATTCCCATATACAAGAAAGGGCGAGTTCAGGAATCACTTCTGAACTGTAAAAATTATTATTTGTAGTCTTTAGTAAAAAGCTGTTTTCGCATTCGTTATACATAAAGTACATGTGTACTAGTACTCATTCAAAGCTAGTGGATATGAAATTTACATTTACTGTTGGCAGGTCTGTTAAAGGTTGTAAAGTGACATGTTTTACGTTTTTATACAGAATTTCATTATTGTGTTCATGCTTTACATGCAAATAGATTTTGTAAATTACCAAATAAATTGTTGAAGTATAGATTAACTGTTTTGTCTCATTTTACAAAATGTAACACTACTGGTGACTTCTTGTTTTTTCACTGTTTAAGACTTTAACATTGAAGTTAAAGCGAGTTAATGTTTTGTCCTACATAGTGCACTGCAATATACTTTTACATTTGCTAATAATACCAACTTTTTGACCCTTGAAGAAGTACTAGAGGCCTCAAAATCTTTAGATATCTCTTTTTAGCTTGTAGTGAAGTCTGCATGTTGACAGAGAGTAATTTTTAGCTCACCTGAGCCGAAGGATCAAGTGAGCTTTTCTGATCACATTTTGTCCGCCGTCCGTCCGTCTGTAAACTTTTCACATTTTCAACATCTTCTCAAGAACCACTGGGCCAATTTCAACCAAACTTGCCACAAAGCATCCTTGGGTGAAGGGGATTCAAGTTTGTTCAAATGAAGGGCCACACCCTCTTCCAAGGGGAGATAATTAAAGATTAGTGAAAAATTAATGGCATCTTTTAAAAATCTGCTTCTCAAGAACCACAGGGCCAGGAAAGATGAAACTCATGTGGAAACATCCTTAGGTAGTGTAGATTCAAGTTTGTTCAAATCATGACCCCCAGGGGTAGGGCAGGGCGACAATGGAGGATCAAAGTTTTACATAGATTAAAAAAAAAAACTTTAAAAATCTTCTCAGGAACAGCAAAGCCCTGATTGGTCATATTTATATGGAAGCAACCTCAGGTAGTGAATATTCAAATTTGTTCAAATCATGACCCCTAGGGGTAGGGTGGGGCCACAATCGAGGATCAAAGTCTTACATACAAACATATAGGAAAAATCTTTAAAAATCTTCTTCTCAGGAACAGCAAAGCCATGATTGTTCATATTTATATGGAAGCATTCTCAGGTAGTGAAGATTCATGTTTGTTCAAATCATGACCCCTGGGGGTAGGGTGGGGCCACAATGGAGGATCAAAGTTTTACATACAAATATATAGGAAAAATCTTTGCAAATCTTCTTCTCAAGAACAGCAGAGCCATGATTGGTCATATTTATGTAGAAGCATCCTCAGGTAGTATAGATTCTATTTTGTTCAAATCATGACCCCCAGGGGTAGGGTGAGGCCACAATGGGGGATCAAATCTTATATAGGAAAATATCTTCTTCTCAAGAACTGCAAAGCCATGATTAGTCATTTTGATAAGGAAGCATCCTCAGGTAGTGTAGATTCAAGTTTGTAAAAATGATGACCCCAGGAGATAGGGTGGGGCCACAATGGGGGATGGAAAATTTTACATAGGAACATAGAAGAAAATATCTTCTTCTCAAGAACAGAAAATCATGTTTAGTTATTTTGATATGGAAGCATCCTCAGGTAGTGTAGATTCAATTTTGTTCAAATGATGACCCCCGGGTGTAGAGTGGGGCCACAATGGGATCAAAGTTTTACAAAGGAACATATAGGAACAAGATGTGTTTGTGAAACACTGATGCCCCTGTATGGCAACTTATAGCAAAGGTTAAACTTTCTCAAATGCAAATCAAATATGTTGATACCCAAAGTAAGGTCTTGTCTTGAGGAATAAACCTGTGAAATATGAAAGGCCTAGCAGCAAACATTGAATAGATATGGAAAAGTTTTTTTTTCAAAAGTATGTCAAACATCAAGGTCAAATGGTCAAAATTAATGGTGCCAAAGGAAAGGCCTTCTACCAAGAAATACACAGGTGAAATATGAAAGCCTTAGCACCAATTTGTTCAAAAGTTATGGCCAAGGTTAAAGTTTTCCAAAAGTAGGTCAATCTCCAAGGTCAAAGGGTCAAAGCTGTTGGTATCCAAAGAAAGGTCTTGTCACAATGATTACATATGTGAAGTATGAAAGCCCTAGAACCAACCGTTCAAAAGTTATGGCCAACGTTAAAGTTTTCCAAAAGTAGGTCAAACTCCAAGGTTAAAGGGTCAAAGTTGTTGGTATCCAAAGGAAGGTCTTGTCACAAGGATTACACATGTGAAATATGAAAGCCCTAGCACCAACCGTTCAAAAGTTATCGCAAAGGTTAAAATTTTCCAAAAGTAGGTCAAACTCCAAGGTCAAAGGGTCAAAGTTGTGGTATCCAAAGAAAGGTCTTGTCACAAGGATTACACATGTGAAGTATGAAAGCCCTAACACCAACTGTTCAAAAGTTATGGCCAACGTTAAAGTTTGGTAAAATTTTGCAAAACTGGATCAAACTCCAAGGTCAAGGTCAAAAGGTCATATATGGTGATACCCAAGGAAAGGTCTTGTCATAATGAACACTCATGTCAAATATTAAAGCCTTAACCTTGACAGTGCAATAGTTATGGCTAGGTTAAAGTTGACAACAGACAGACAGACAGTCAGGATAAAAACAACATACCCCCGGGAACTTTCGATCCGGGGGCATAAAAATTTTTCTTCTCAAGAACAGAAAATCTATGTATAGTCATATTGATATGGAACCATCCTCAGGTAATGTAGATTCAAGTTTGTTCAAATGATGACCCCTGGGATAGGGAGCAGCCACAATGGTGGATCAAATTTTTACAAAGGAATATATAGGATTTTTTTTTTTAATCTTCTCAAGTACAACAACAAACCCATTTGTTATATAAACACGGAAGCATCAAGTAGTTAAAGATTCAAGCCCCCCCCCCCCCCCTCCCCGCCCTGTAATCTTTTCAATACTGAACTGATTTGTGCTGTGCTCAGGTGAGCGATGTGGCCCATGGGCCTCTAGAGTGTTCCAGTAAAAATAAACCATTTTGACCTTGACCATTGAATGAAGGTCTCGGAATTTATTGGTGCCTTCCTCTATCATTGTTCACCTATGTACAAAGATGTTCTCTTCAGTTTACAAAAATACCAGTTACTGTCCTGCATAACATGTTAGTATCTGTAATGGCCACTTCATTAGACAAGACTCTTTGACCTTGAACTTTAGTCAAGAGATGTATTCTAATCCATTTCGTATGTGTCTTCAATTTTATATTGGCCCTATGCCATGGCCATTGATAAAGTGGTTCCCAAATTTACAGAGTTTTCCCCCCAAAGCATTCTCCACCTAAATAGTAAATATTATGTCCACTCTCTTCAATTTCTTTATCAATGATTATGAAAGTATAGCCCAGCCCTTAAGTTTTGGTAGTACATACAATGTAGAATCATTTTATTTTTGGAGAGCCACCAAAATTTAACTGATTCCTGGGCACCAATTTTTGGTTAATTTATATCTATATACAGAAGATTCAAAGAAGAACATTGTAATATGTTGACAAAGTTCTTGTTCGTGGGGATGAAATCTGTATA